TGAAAAACTTAAATAAACCGATTATTTTTTTTTTTGTTAAAAATCGATTGGAACGATGCCACTTAATTCTTATTGAAAATGAATTTTGCAACATGAAAAATAGATTTCATTTGATTTTACTATTTTAAATCGATTTTTAGTCGAATAATAAAGTCCTATTGATTGAAATTGGTTTTTACAAACTGATCAAGAATGATTAAAATCAAATGATATCTATTCTTGAACCTGACAAATCAGATTCTGACTGGATCCAAATGGTGTCATTTTAATAGACACTTGTTCATAAAAAAATTAATTCTAATCTAATTTATCGATATTTTGTCTTACACAAATCAGTATTAATTGATGTCTATCTTAACGCCTGCTATACGTGTCAAAGTCTAGGCTAGTGTGATAATCACGATCTACTAAGCTAGGCAGTTCGAAAAAAAACAGAGGTTCGAGTTCCTAACTTAAAACCTGAGAAAAACATGTTTTACGACCACCACCATTTTAATCAAGTGAAAATTAACTAATTCCTCTAATTTTGATTAAATGATGACAATTTCACCTTAATCGATCTTTAGCTAGGAAGAAGTCGACTAGAATCATTTTTTTTGTCGTATGTGAGAAATTTCCCTTGCAAAACAGAAATAAAGTTCGGGCCGGGCCGGGTCACCGGGCCGGGTGGCTCGTTTCGAGCCCTGTTTCATACACATACCCCACAATACCAATCGTTGAATCTTGTTTTAGTATTGAGATATGCCTAGAAATGTTTGAGTTCTGTCATACTATATAGGGGCACTAACAAGTGTACTGTCATTTCCGATTTTTTTTACGTTTCCTTCCGTCTCTAATCTTAGTTGAGGAAATTATGAAGCAACAGATTAATACGAAAGGGTTGAAAGATGCTTTTTCTTCTGAGTGAAATTCACGAACAAATCAACTCTTTATGATCTAAAGTATGCATCGTGGTATTTCCTTGTAGAAAGCGACGTTTGTTTTGCGCGTAGTTGGCTTACTAATGATCGCTATCTAGAGGAAAATGATCAAGCATCCTATGATCAGTGAACATAGTGGAAATGATAGATTTTCTAAATGATTTCTGTAGCTGCACAAGCATGTAAATGATCAGCTGAGCAAGATTAATTCAAAGGAAAGAGGATTTCGGTCGTACTTTCAGGGTAATAATTCTAAGTAAATAACTGAAACCATTTAATTGAGAAGTAAGAAAAAACTAAATCCGCGAACATCATCATTTTTCTATGTCGTACGCATTGATGGAAAGCTATTATCAAGGATTTTTTTTTGGTTTCTTCTTAGGAAATGTTTGTGTGCACTCGTGGATACATTTAGCACTTGATTGTTCCACTATGACGATGATGCCAGGTGCAATCAAGGTGATCGATGGCACTGCGAAAGTTTTCTGCTAACTAAAATAATACTTTAGAAGTTGTCATTTTAGATGCCGATAAAACTCATCAAAATGACTCGTCTTTTTATGAAAAATAAGCGAGAGTAGCAATTTAATCCATATTTGTATTTTGTGTCATTAATAAACAGGGAACTCGTCATCTATTTTCATCCCCAGAGTATTTACTAAAGGAAAATTAATGAATTGTCTTACTCTTTTTTTTTCTAGATTCTCTTGTATGGCAGAGTTCTGTCCTAGACCACGATTGACGAAGATTGTACTCGGCATTGGTTGCTTATTCGCCGCTGCTGCTGTTGTCTGCATTTTAGTCGGTGGTTCACTCTATATCTAAGAGCGTTATAAAGTGCGCTTCTATGCGCAGGATTCCTGCCGCGCTCGATCAGTGAGCTACGAGACTATCCAGAGATGTATAAAACTTGAGAACCGTGCGAGGACTCTGAAGTGTTATGTAGCAGTCTGGCAAGTCTAATTAAGTCAAAATAGGATGCGTAAGGAATATATACGAGGCAGTGGAGAACGTTCTTATTATAACATGGAGGCCCAATCCGACCAATATAAGGTACGTAGCATCAGCCTCTACTTGTTTATAGAGTAACAGAAAACCATAGATAAAGCTTCCAATACGGCCCAAAAGAAGATAATTAGAATGTAGGAAAACATGCCACTGCTGATTCGATTGGTACATTTGTGTGCTCACCTAAAACAGACGGCTACAGGCCTCTTCTATGACATTTAGTGGATGCAACCATAATGAACAACGCCTTATATTCCTATTCCAAGAAAATATCTCCAACTTTTGAAACACAATACGTTGATAGTTCTTCATTTGAAGAAGTTGCATTTAAGCGCAAATGTGCCAAGAAATTGTAAAAAAATGGTTCTTGGTGTTTTGCTTGTATGAAAGATGTTTTAAATGACCTTGATACGTACTGAATGATGCAAAAGTAACTTGTTTTGAAGTTTTTGAGTAGTGATGAAAGTGCACAAACGCAGACAGCAATTGAAGCATTCGAACGTGTCTCCTTAAGAGATTGGTTTTCTGCGCATCAGATGATACACTGAGGGTATCTATTCTCTAGTCTCTATTATTAATTTTCGAGCAATATCATGAAAAAGTCTTTGACTTCGTCATCAACAAGGCAGATCTTTGTGTCCCTGCTAACCATCACACACGTAGACTCTATGTCAACAGTTAGATCGTGATATTATTTCGCTAGCCCAGTCATAAATTTAGTTGTGGAATACAATGTAGAGCTTCTTGTTCCATATATTGTCACTTATCATATTGATCACCACACGTAACAAGATCAATGAGGCACCACGGACGAATATTTCTCATCGCTAGCGGAATAGCTGGGATTAACGATACTCTAGTATTTTATCCTTGTTTCAGGATCCGAAACAGATTAGGACTAGAGCTTCTTGATTAAATCCTAAAAACAGAAATTAGTAAATTCCAAAGATCCTGACCAATTGTGACAGAATTTCTTAAGGAATGAACACGATTGAGACTAGGTAAGACATAATGTATTATAATAAACATAATAAGCAGATCCCCACAATACTCAACTCGATCAATCTCATCATGCTCGAAGCGATCCTGTGGGCTCTTAAAATGATCTTGTATAGCTAATGTCCTCACATCTCGGTTCCGAGCACCAATTTGCATATTGAAACTGCACATTTTTTCTTAATCTATATTCATAAGAGAATGGTACACCATGAAGATGATAATTCGATGAGCTGCATAAGTAAACATCACGAAATTAAAGAAAATAGTCACCGTACAGAAGTCACTGCCAGTGATTTGATCGATTATGAACAGAAGAGGAAACATTCGTATGTTTTTACATGATCATGTAGTAAATCTGGTTTAATGTCTTGAGATTACGACACATGAGTGGATTGGACTTCATTTTTCTTGCAATATAATTACTTGAAAACTCTTGAACAATCTTGTTTCATCAGAATGAATCTTGATGAATGTCGAAGATCTTCGAATTTCATCCATGTTTTTCCTGAAATATCATCTGCAATAACTGCAAAAATCAACTCTTGCTTAATTTTCAGCAACTTGCATGGCTGTATTCGGGAATTCTCCGTTGGAAACCTGGTTCTCAGAGAAAAATGAAAACACACCTATACAAGCTTCCAATTGCTAAGTTCTTACTAAAGAATCTTACGATTTTATAAAAGTAACCGAAAAAAAGCTTTATCGGAATGAGCAATTAGCCTTCTTCAAAAATCATTACAATCTCAGTTAGGGGATGATACAAGAACTTCTCTCACGTATGTCTCATGCATTTGCTAATCATTGAACTGCTAGTATATTTATCATAACGGTTTCAGACAATCTCGAACTACTGAAATAATCTTTTACTTTGAACATACTCTCATTTAGGTTGGTTCTTCATATCCATGTTGGTACAATACAAAGAAACCACCTGAAGTAACATGGTACAGGCCAACCACTTATTATTCTCTCATTTTACTTATAATTGGTGGAATGTCTATTCCATTCGCTATCGCTATACTGATTGTCTACTGTCGTCTACGCGAACGCGCTGTTTTGTAAAAGCAGTTTCTCACCTCGCTTATTTAGACTCTTATTATTTTATTGTACTATGCAACATGATTGACTATTAAGAACGCTACAACGGTATGTAGGTGTGAGTGAAAGTGTGGATGTGAAGTGTTTGCATGATTATGTAGTTTCAGTGCAGGTATTAGTTTGAGTGTGGACAATATAAGCAACAAAACTCATTCACAGTTCAAAACGAAGTAGGGTGTGGATATGGAATGTAGTGCGTGGGTGTGGGTGTGGGTGCGGATGGATGAGTGTGAGTGTGCGAGTGTAGAGTGCGGGGTGTGGGGTTGGCGTGGGTGTAGATATAGAGAGGACCCACACCCATGCCAACCCCATACCCACATCCACACACATCCAGCGCACAAACCTTTTTAGCGTCTTTATCTACACAATGAGTCGTATCTGTGAGCAAAATATGAGCTCAAACCGACGGTATCAGTTGGTGAGATTTCCTCGTTAGTTTTTGGAATAATTCGCTTATTGATTTATTTTAAAGATTAGTGATTCAAAACACAAAGTTTGTCTATTTATTATAAACTATCTGGTAGTCTTTTTGTATTTCGATCTATTTCAAATGGCTTTGAAAATGCTTATTAAAGGATTAATTCAGAGGAAAAACTTTATGTTCTGTATAAACTTTCACCAAAATGATGAGTAACTAATGACAGTGCATTTATATTTAATGTCATAACGTATGTATAAAAAGCTGAATAACCTTGACATTGTATTTATGTCATACCGCACTTAGATATATCATTCTGACGATGTCGTTCTTCCACGTCATTGCGATAAGCATACCTTTAAAAATAGAAGAGCATCTGTCATCATTGACAAAAAAAAACTTTGCACCTATTGTTTTTATACATTTTTTGCTAACTAATTGCTCTCATTGTATATGAGTATATAAAAACGAGCTGTAAAATATAAAACAAATCATACTAAAACAAAACTAACCTATTCAACGTCATTGAGTGAAGCATATATTTCATTTTTATCAGAATGGGCATCGAGAAATTAATGACGAATGATAAATTTAAAGACACAGTAGAACAAGTCTTGCGACAATTGAGTCAATGCATGGATGATTATTATGATGACAACATAATTCGACAAGATTCGTTATTATTAACATATTTTCATCAATTGGCTAATTTCAGTGTGATTCCTTCGGTCGATAACACGAAGAAGATTTCAAGAGAACCTTCATTGGAACCATCCACAGCATCTCTTACAGCAAGTTTAGATCCGACTGATTGGAAATCAGCACGTGCTGAAGCTCATAAGATGCTTGATATTTCGTTGGATTTCATCGAAAAGGCTCGTGATCGACCCGCTTGGATACCCTTGCCAAATGAAGCGCGACATCGAATTATGTCCGAAGTTCTGCCTGAACATGGAAAACCAATGACTGATGTTTGTCAAGATATAATTGATGATGTTTTACCTTATTCTGGTGGTAATGCGCATCCTCGATTCTGGGGATGGGTTCATGGATCTGGTACAGTAGGAGGTGTTATTGCTGAAATGATGACAGCAGCAATGAATTCAAATGTAGGTCTTTGTAGTCATAGTGGAGTACTTATTGAACGACAAGTGATTGATTGGATGAAACAATTATTTCAATTTCCAGAAACAACGGCTGGCGGTGTCATCGTTAGTGGAACATCAATGGCAGCCGTTGTTTGTTTATCTGTAGCACGTTATCATGCTCTAAACAAAGTACGACAAGATGGTTTAGTTACATTAGGTGTTCGATTAGTCGCTTATGCTTCAACACAAACACATGTATGTGTAGCCAAAGCTCTTGAATTATTAGGATTGGGTGTTCAAGCACTCAGATTAATACCTACTGACGAAGAATATCGTATAAATATTGAAGAACTCAAAATAATGATTGAAGAGGATCGTCAACAAGGGTTCGTACCATTTTGTATCATCGGAAATGCAGGTATGTTCACAGAATATATCAGAAACAATCTTGAGAGGCTGTTGTTTGTTTTGATAGAAAGAAATATTTATTGTAATAATATTTTGAATTCTGTTTAGGCACTGTGAGTACCGGTGCTTTCGACGATTTATCTGCTTTGTCGGTTGTAGCTCGAGAGAACAACATTTGGTTTCACGTTGATGGAGCATTCGGAAGTTTTGTGGTTCTCGATCCAAGTCGACGACATTTGATTGATGGACTATCGAAAGCTGATTCGTTGGCATTCGATTTTCATAAATGGTTACACGCACCTTATGCAGCTGGATGCGTTCTCTTACGTCAAATTTCCATGTTAAACGCCACTTTTTCACCCCCTCCCATGTAATCACGAAACGCAAGATCGATGCGTTGAAACGCGGTTTCACAACAAAACGCGTCTAGACGCAGTTAAAAACGGTTTCACAACGCATTCAAATGCATTTTTAATATGAAACGCGTTGAGACGCAGTTAGAAAACTTTTGAAACGCGTCTGAACGCAGTTTTTGTATGCAACGTGTTGAAACGCAATTGTAAAAAAACTATGAACCGCGTCTCAACGCGTTTCATATTGAAATTGCGTTTGTACGTGTTTAATAAGAGTTTGACTGAACGCGTTCAAACGTGGTGTAATATGAGAAGCGTTGAGACGCAGTTAGAAAAAATTTTGAAACGTGTCTGGACGCAGGTTTTCTATACAAGGCGTTTAAACGCAATCAGAAAAAAATGAACCGCGTTTCGACACGTTTCTGAAAAAAATTTAATGCGTTTAAAAAAATTTTGTTTACGAACTGCGTTCAAACGTGTCTTAAATATGTTTTTCGCTCGCGTTAGGACGCAATCATATTTTCGAGTGCCTTTGAAAGTGTTTATTTTTTGTGTATCGGACGCGATTTTACCCAAAAATTGCTGCTCTATAAGAGTTAACTGCGTAATCAAAATCATCAGCTTACATGTATTTTATTCATCTAAACTTCATTAGACTTCTAATAATGAATGTCGAGATGACGTTAAAATGGACAAAATTCAATTAAACATACGGTGAACAGTCCATATTTCTCTAAAGTTTGTAAGAAAAATAGTTAGATAATATTATAACAGTTTCCAGCTATGCAATGCCCTTTCAGAATATTGTTAAATACTACTATTTAAATAATATTATTAGTAACTTTTCATCATATATTTCTACTAAATTGGTTGTCAATAATTATCTATTCATTAAATTTTTCGATAAAATTATTTATCATATTACCAGTGCAATAAAAAAGATCGTAATATTTTTTATGTGTAGTAGATGATAAAAAAAAGATGTTATTTTATTAAAAAAATAAAAAACTTATTTAAAAGAATAACTGAAAAGTCATCTTACGTGTTAAGACTCTTGAATTCGAAAAAAATACATCTTGTTAAAATAAAGTATTTAACCGATGAAATTCGTCTTCAAATATATTTTATTTTGAATAAGACAAGATTTCGAGTTAGTATAACTCAGCGGTATGTATGAACGACTTCTAATCACTGGTTCATCTGTTCAAATCTAATCGTCGTCGCTTAAGGTAAAATCTAATCCATTTGCCAGGGAAGGCTAAGACCATCAAAAAATATTGATGGTGGCGACTCAGTTCAAATCTGAAATGGATTATCATATTTTTTTTCAAAATTTTTAGTTTTTTTATGAAACGCGTCCAGACGCATTAAATGTTTCATCTGGGACGCGTTTTCGCTAAAAATGCGTTTGAACGCAAGTCAAGCTAGAAGCGCATTCACACGCGTTTCTAAAATAAATCGCGTTTAAACGCTCCGTTTGTTTCACTGGGGACGCGTTCAAACGCGTTCACTCTTAGCGTTTCGCACGCAAATGAAACGCGTTTCAGACGCGTTTTGAGGCAAAAAATATTTACATGGGCTCGCAACTATTTGGTAGGTACCAAACGAGGTTTTGCTGGTGATACTCCTTGGTTTTGTGACATGGGTATTGAACTTTCACGACCATGTAGAGCTCTCAAAGTTTGGTTTACTATTAAGGAACATGGAATAATAAGACTGGGTCAGTCAATTGCAGCCAATTGTGATCAAGCTCAATATTTAGCCAACTTATTGTCTAAGTATGATTTTATCCAAGTATTTACTCCTGTCTCACTTAACATTGTCAATTTTCGAGTGAAACCTGATGAATTGAAGAACAGTGATCCAGAAGCTGTCGATATATTGAATGATGAACTCGTCAATGATTTACAAGAAAAAGGTATTGCTGTTCCATCAACAACACGACTCAAAGATCGTCTTCATATTCGAGTCTGTATTACCAATCATCGTAGTACCTTAACGGATTTTGACTTTTTTGTAAATGCTCTCATTGATTTATGCCGATCTAGAATTGCTTTGATGAATAAATAAAGAACTAAAATCATTAACACACAAAAAAACAAGGTTTCATTTTGATAACATGAAAATAGTCTAGATGACATCATAGGCCAGTGAAAAATGTGTCCTCATGTGTAATGTGTCGCAACTGTCGTGTGTTTATGCAGATCTTGTAGAATTCATCGATTACAGTTCAACAGACAAGATCTCAGAAGGATTATTTCTTTCAGATTTCGAGTTGTAAACCAAGCAATCGAAAAACAAAGATCACTGGTGCTTTTTTTTATTTGTCCATCGTTCTCTTTTCAGTTTTTATTGTCTCCCATCTTCACCCTTTTATAATAGTAATTTTCCGTTTGATCAGAAACGAAAGAAGTTAATTATTGTTGACAATTTGGAACAAACCAATAGGTATTTTTAATGTGTGATGTAGAATTGAATACATGTGTCAAAAAATACATAACGACAAACACGCTGTACATATTTTTTCTGTATAAAAAAAAGGTTAAAAATAGAAATGTTCGTTCTTTCGATCACTAACAAAATGCGAGCAGTCGCAAAATTGGAATTAAGATCCAATGAAACATTTATTGAATGTTTCGAGTACCTTAATGGTTTCGATATTCATTATTCATTTTATCGTTTACTGGGTGTAAGTAAACGAAAGATCAACACCCACACCCATACTCACACCCGCAGCATCTTGGTTTCTCAAGTATATTGTTGTTCGTGATTTACAAACAATGAAAAAGGCTCATTTTATCTGTCAACGATGGTTTGCTGTGGAAAAAGATGATGGCGCAGTAAGTTTTATTTCCTTCATGTTAAGTATGAGTTATTTTTTATTTGGAATTAGATTGAACGTTTGTTATCAGTGGCAGGTGAAGGTCAGAAGAAAGAATTTGTATATGTTTTATCCAAACAAGCATATCATAGTATGTCGGAAGGTCATTTGTGATTTTCGATTTTTTCCCGTTCATCATCGAATAAATTTACTCGTGTTCAATGATGTACATGTTGTTTTGTTTTACTTTGTATGGGGATGCTTTTCAATATTTTACATAATGATCAGATTCAAGAAACGAACACAAGCAAGGGAACGAGTGGATTATCTCTTGAACCGTTGCATATTACAACAGAACAGATCTGTGGGGATTTTTTTTCATTACATTTAAATGAATGAATACATGATTTCTCTTGTAAACCCCCTCCCGTATTAAAAGGCCCCGGGCCTTCTATAATGGCAAAACAAATGGAATTTCAAAGGGGGCCTTCTATTTAGGGGGGCCTTCTATTTGAAATTTAGAGTCTATATGGGTGATAAATTTTAAGATGAATATTTATTTTTCATCTTTCTTGTTCAAATTACAATTCTAAAGAAAAAAAGTTGAAAAACAAAACCTAAGTTTGTGAAATTTACAAATATAATGATTAGTTTTTTTTCCATAAATCAATTAGTTTCAATTGTTTACCACCATTCTTTACCATCATTTGTGTGTGTTGTTGGTTGGCCAAATTTGCATCATTTGCAATTCGATTTTCAATATCATCATCACCATGGGATTGACTTTGATATTCTTGATTAGGATCATAAACATAACCAGGCAAGGTTCGAGGCGATACAATAGCATTATTTGTCCAAATGTATCCAATTTCTGTAAATCCTTTCTTAATATCAATGGACTTTAATGTGCGCTTCCAAGCTTCCCATGTAAAACGAGTACACATTATTCTGGATTGAGCAGCATTGAGTTTCAGTTGACTTCGTGGACCATTTTTCTCAATGAACTCTTGAGCTGCATCAAAATAATGAGATTTAAAAGTGGAGAAGACGAGTGTATCGAGAATTTGTAAGTATTGCGTGCACCCTTTGGGGATCACGGCAATAACAACACTTTTTTGGCGTAGACTTTGTTTTGTTTGAGGATTGAGATGAGAATGACATGAATCAGTTATTAACAACTTCGGGTTACCATCTTTGACCTGAAAGATAAAAGTTATTATGAACAAGCAGTGAATTAATCAATTCAAATGTAATCAAGGTTAGTTTCATAGCTTCTTTCTATTCTTATAATGTTTTTTTAATGTATATCTATACAGTATCGGAACCAGGAAAATATACTGTCTCATGTTAAGCAACTTTATTGTTGAAGATCATGATTGAAAACTCACCTTACTATACCAATAATCAATAAATTTGTTCATTGTTTCGGTATTTATTACAGCTTTTGGTGTAAAGAATACCTTCACTTGTTTAGCATATTGACGAACTTCTTTGTCAGATACACGTCCTTTCCCCTTGAATAAAAGTATTGGACCAATTCGATCATTTCTTTCAGGAAATATTGTGAGAATAACAGTTGCAAAACGCTAAAATGAAAATTTGCAGATTACATATGATTGTTGAACTTATTTTTATTTTATTTTTACATAACATTTCAAACTATAGATTCTGAAAATATATTTATTATCATTAAATTTACTGTCGAGTGTTATCGAAAGCTTCCATCCAAATTAGGCATTAAATTTTAATTTATAGAACTCACTTTTGAGCAAATAGCTCCTTCAACTTCATTATCAACATTCACATAGTTTAAGCTTCGTTTGGTTTGATCACCGAAAAGCGACAAGGGGGATTCATCAAAATTGCATACATCAGAAGGTTTGAACGCACCCATAGGTCCCCTTGTCGGTCCCCAGGTGCTTGCTCGACGAAGATAATTGTAAAACAATGTTGCTTGTTTATGAGCTTCGGGCAATGATATCTTTTGATTTCTCTTCGGACGTTGTAAAGAAAGACGATTTCGTATCATAAATCGTTGGTACCATTTAACTGATGGTGCTACGTGATTCAGCTCGGCAGATAAAATAGTACCTTGTCGAACTAATTGTTTGAACGATATTTTCTCCCGTCTAATATTAATTACTGTTGCATCCGAAGTTGGAGGTGTTCGACGTTCTTTAAACCACTTGATTAGACGATCATCTAGATCAACATATTTTAGTTTTTTTCCTCCACCTTTGAGACGCTTTCGTCGACCACCTAAAATGAAAAAAATAACGCGTGATATATTTTAACAATCACATAAAATAAACCACATTGACTTTTTACTACCTATCGAACTAAAACATGTAGAAAAATAATTTGTTGGACCTTACAAGAAATCAGACACACTGAGATCTTAAGAATATTATCAAATATTTTGAGGAAGCGCGATGAAATCGAAAGAGATCGTTGAAAATAATGAACTTATTATGATACAATAGCTTACCATTATCCATTGATTGAAGTTGCTTCAGTTCTTCTTTTGATTTTAACCATTCTCTCAATTGATATCGTGTACATCCAATTTCTTTAGCAGCTGAATGTTTACTATTGGATTTTTCATAATTTTCAATTGCTTGTAATTTTTCTTTCACAGACCAAGCACGACGTTTACGCTTTTGAGATGGTGTAGTACTAGCTTCAGGTCGTGGAGAGGATGTTGTGGACGACGAGTTGTCAATTGCAAAATTAACACCATTGTTTTCATCAGCTTCAGATGTTCGAACTTCAGGAAAAGATTGTATTGTTGAATTGTCTTGTATGTCCATGTCGTCGTCACTACTATCAATTGAATTTAAACAAAGATCATTGCCAAGTTGAACAAGTTCATTTTCTTCTTTATCAATAGTGGATGTCACTTCAATATCACTATCATAAGATGACGACGAAGATGAATCATCATTTGTATCGATTAATTTAGGTATTGAAAGAGAAAATATTTCAACATCGTCTTCATCCATGAACAACTGATTGATTTAAAAGGATGTTAACAAAGAGATTAAGATCAAAATTTTATCTTATTGATGGTTAGTGCCTCGCGGACCAATCAACAACCTTCATAATGACTCATGGATGAAAAGATTGCGTGTTTTCTTATTCCTTCTCAGAAGAGAAAAAAAGATGACGCAAGAGAGCGCATATGTATATATGCAAAGAAAGAAAGAAAATCATTTTTCTACAAGCAGTGATGCACGTAAAAAGAAATGGCGACGATGGTCATAATATAAAGCCCGGGCCTTTTATTAGACCGATCATTCAAAATTTTCTGGGGGGCCTTCTAATTAGGGGGGGGGTTGTGATATGGGGGGGCCTTCTATTGCGGGGGGGGGGGTTACTGTAGATGGGAATTGGTGTGATTGTGGAACTTCTTTCGTTAATTCCAAGTCTGTTACTGGTTCAATTCTTGCGACAAATAAGACAACGAAAACCTGATCAAGAAAAACCTTTATCGTTGAATGAAACATTGAGAAAAGTAAAAGGATATAGAACAGATATTGTCTATTGTCAGAGAAAGAAACGATCTGAAATAACCTTTCCTTGGTAGTGTATTTTTATTGCATATATTCTTTAATGCATATTAGTTATAATTTCTATCATTTTTATCATTGCGCGTGGTATCGAATTTAGTGATATAAAAACGCAACAATGGTTAACATCACTTTCTATTGGCTTTTTCTCGTCAATATGTCTTACTCAACCGCTCAAAGTAAGTAATCTTATTTTATTATCTATAAGAATATTTTTATGTATACATGTCTCGGTGGTATTTTTGGCTATAATATTTTCCTTTCTTTTTCGTAATAAAAATTACGACGAAGAAATGGCAGGATACATAGATAATGATGACGATCTGAATTTAGCAAATGAAGAAGATTGTTTTCATTCTACGGAGGTAGATTTCTTAAATTCTTCATTTAGATTAAATCCTTTCTTTTATAGAAGAAATCATTATTTGTTAACCGATCGACCGTACGAGCTAACCATCTAAATAAAATTGAAGTGGAAGAAGCTCGTAATCTACGAGTGAAGGAAATAGAAATGTGGTCTGCTATTCGTGAAATTCTTGCGTACTTATGTGTTATCTGGATTGCTTGTATAATTACCTACTCTAATCGGAATATCAATGCTTCTCTACAAGTCAACCACTTATGACGTTATCTTCTAAATATCGGTAATCCAAATTTTGATTACACAAAAGTAAGACTTCACCTTTTCTTGAAAATCTGTATTACATAGATGCTTTTATGATTCATAGATTATCTCTATTGATGAATATTGGTCATGATTAGAAAACAGTTCTGTTCACAAGATTCGTGTACAACACTGGTACAATGGAGATATTCCTCGCAATCTAAGTGGTTTTATCAATGATAAATCTAATCGATTGTTTGTTTGGGTCACAATTAGACAATTACGCATCAAATCAGGTTTGTTTTCTCTGCTCTTTCACCAGTAAATTAGTATAGTTATAAGTATATAGATCCATGTCAACGACAGGGTGTGGGTGTGGGTGTGGGTGTGGGTGTGGGTGTGGGTGTGGGTGTGGGTGTGATTCTGATATCACTCTATTTTCATCCACCCACACCCACACCCACATCCCACACCCACACCCACACCCACACCCACACCCACACCCACACCCACCTACACCCACACCCACACACCAACACCCACCCACACCCACACCCACACCACCCTACTTCTACACTGGTTACTCGTATGCTTACGCTTATCAATCAAATTGATTATTGATTCTTGTGAACGAAGATATTTTAATCAACTTTTTCGAAGCATTCTCGAAACTAATGGAAAACATAACTTCAACCTTCGAGTAATTCCATACGAACTTTCTCAATCTGCTCAGAGGATTAAAATGTGAGATTGATTCTACTCAAGTCAATTGCTAGTTACGAGAGCCATTATGATCAGAATTCTAAGCTCAATATTATGACCTGCCTGCAACCGTTTTATCGGAGACGGTGAATACCATTGAATGATGTTAATATGAATCAATTAAATCACCTACGAGAACCTTCAAATTCATCTGAACTGCATTGGGTTGATCTTATAGGATTAGACTAGTACTTTATTCAAGAATCAACATTTTATTCCATTGAAGACAAGTACATTTCTTACATGGGTAACGTTGACAATGATAAAAGTGATGCATTCGATAAACCAGAACACCCTGAGAGAACTGACAGAGTATCTCAGTAGCTCATTCAAAATGCTTCCGTATTGTCCAATAGATTGACTGATGAACTCTGTGAATGCATGGAGCGCCAACGACTGAATATCTATGCTTACATTCATGTTGCTAATTTACTTCGTGCCCTCATTGAGCCCAAATGCACTTGTACTTTACTTTCACAGTTTGTGTTTCTGTTAGGTTTTTTATATCAGTTTTACGATTTTTCTTTCTTTCTGTAGGAAAGAAATTAAAGCATTTGCAAGCTCAAGATTAACCATCCATTACAAGTAACCAATGCCAGCACGAAAAGCGTATATATATATAAGTATTGAGTGAACTAAAATAAGAAACAAAAAGGTAAACGTTCAACTCACCAAGTCTCTTTAAAAATGATCAAATATCTAAGACTAATCAAGTGTATTTTAGTACTAAAAAAACTAGCACAATCTCTTTTAATCATTGTTCTTAATTAAATCTGCTGCTCTCTCGGCTATTGCAACTGTTGGAATATTTGTACTGCCAGAAATAGTGTTTGGTATAATACTTGCATCAACCACACGTAGATCTTTTACGCCTTTTACTCGTGTATCAGGCGTTACAACTGTCATAGGATCTTCTTCTTTTCCCATTTTACAGGTACCAATCGGATGACAGATTGTAATAGTATACTTTCGAACATATGATTCCCAAAATTGATCTTTGTTTTCTGTTGCTTCGTCTCCGTTCATTTCTTTTGCCATTGACTTGAGCGTACTATTCAGTGATTCAGTCTGACAAATTTTTTCAACTAGTTTACATGCTTCAACCAGTTTACGAACATCTTCTTTGTCCTTTAAATAATTTGGATTGATAATTGGATGTGCGAGAGGATCACGACTTGCAAGTGTAATTTCACCCTTTGATTCTGGATGTAGAAGTGTGGGCAAGTACAAAACAGTCCATTGTGATTCATCAGTTAGATGTGGTTTCAAATATTGTTCATAAACTTCTGGTTTAAAATTAGAGATTCGAAAGAATTCAGCATCAGCTGTAAACGGGCTGAACTGCATTTGGATATCAGGTACTTGTGTTTTATCTAGACGAATAGATAATTAACGATGACAATGTGAACTAATAGAAAAAAAATTGAATCTATACTCGAATTACCATTTCCATTCAATTGACACCACGCTAGTGATTCACCACCACATGAAGTTAAGGGACCTTTTCCTTGAGTTGACCATTTTTGTAAGTTTTCAGGTGTCAAATCACGAGTTGAAAGTGTTGGTATGTGAGTCAGATAGACTAGAATAGTCATCATATGATCTTGTAAATTTTTACCAACACCAGGCAAATCAACGATTACGGGTATTTGATGTTTCTGTAATTCTTCTCGAGGGCCAATTCCAGAGAGAAGAAGTATTTGAGCACTTCCAACTGTACCAGCTGATAGTATGACTTCTTTACCTTTGATAAATTCCTCTTTATCTAATGAGTTAGTACGTTTAACAATGACACCTAAAAATATGAAGAGCGTTTCGTTCAAAAAGTAGATGAAACCTTCTGAAAAGTAAATTTCCAGTCACTTTTCAAAATATCATTTACATTGAACGTCATTAAAAAAGATCGCGACATTTCTGCTAGTTTGACATGTGAAAATTAACAAGAAAGACATTGAATTTCTGTCGAATTCACATTATTTTGCCTTTTCTATCGTCACTGTATGCTTTAGACGAAATTTTGTTAATAAAGACAAAAACATGACAAAAACTACTTTCGAGCAAATTCGTATCTTCTATCTTGAAAATTTTTACAGAATAAGATGGAAGGAACTTGTAAAAAAATTTTTACAGTCTCGATCAAAATTATTTTACAAACAAACACTTTTAATTTGACACTCACCGGACACTTGCTTTTGCTCATCAAATGCTACCCGACAAGTATGTGCATGTATTAGCAAGTCAAAATTTTCTCTTTCTACTGATGTCAAGAGATAACCACTTGCTGTTGACCAACGTTTTCCTTCTTTTGCTGATATTTGTGACATTGATACACGTCCATTCAGACTTTCTTCGGCATTGTAATCTTTAGTTTCATGAAATCCATTCTTCTTACATGCTTCAATAAACAATCGATTCGTTGGATTTGGTTCTTCAAGTATTGTTACATCCATCATTCCTTTACCTTGATCATGATTACGGAAATGCTCATTCCTTGGAATTGTGTTCGGATCGGCACGTTCTAATTTTTTAAAATATTTTAACATTTCTTGAAATGACCACTGTGGTAATTGCCAATTATCATAATCATGTGGATCACCACGAACATATTGCAGATAATTTATAGAAGAACAACCACCTAAAACTTTACCACGTGGCCAATTACTTTGTTGATTAACACAACCAAAATGTGAATAAAGTTGAGGTATACTCTTATATTGCCAATCAATTTCACCAAGCTGACAGCTACCACTAGAACACAAAGAAAAACGACATACTTTAATCTGCGAGTGGCAAAATGTCTCTAACTGAAAGAAGCAGAGTAAAATTTCGCATGAGTTTCCTAGCTTTATTTCTTAGAAATTTTGTTTTCTATTTTATAAAAAGAAATGAAAACTTTTGTTCGAACTTCTTTTCTTCTGTATTCACAACTGGTTGTACGACAATATTTTACGTAAAGTTCGAAAATCACGGCTTTTTGACAGAAATTACATTAGTACTTGTGAGAAGATCATTTTTCTATCGAATAATCTCTTCTATAAGAAACGTAAAACTTTAAGAACAGTTGTCT